CCTGAATACATCTGTGCCCTTACCCACCTCCATGTCTTGTGTTACTTGTTGCTTAAATTCCTCTCTTCTTCCCCATGTAGACACACTCAAACCCTTTCTCCAAGTGGCAAAATCCCAACTGTATAATACCTTCTTTTTCTCTTTCTTTCCTATTACTTCATAGCATCTGTGCTTATTCCATCAGTTGCAAAGCACGTATATCATGCTGCACTGTAGTCACTTGTCACTTGGCTGCCATAATAGTGCCATGGTATAACTGACTGGAAGGCACTTTGTAGGTGAAGAGTAGAACCTCTGAAACAGCCCCACAGCAGAGAAGTCTGCAGCACTCCTGGTGGGAAAATCAAGCCACCCTGGCCAAGCTTTTATTGATACCCTAACAAGGATGAAGTTCCCATTCAGTACCTGTGAAACTGTCTTTTCCTTTCTCAGGAAAGGCTTATTAACTAGGCTGATACCCTTCCCTCCCAAATGCTCAGACCATTCACCAGTTGCAAGTAACTGCAAGTAACTCACTCTCATTCCTCATTGTGTACTGTGAGAACCAGTATTTTCTCTAGGATCACTCCCAGTCATGCCATCCCTGGGCTTAAAGTCTATTCCTGCAGCTTCTGTAAGTGGAATAATTTTTTCTATGAAACCAGAAGATTCATTGCAACTCTTAAGGCAAGATCATTTATCCATCCTACGAGGGAAGACCATGAAGATAATGTGTTCTGGAATACAGCTCCCAAAACATCTCTCAAAAAATTGTTCTCAAAAATTATAAGTATGAAAACTTCATTGAGGAAAAATGCTCTGTCATTTGAAGCTGTCTTCAAAGTTTGAGAAATGTGCACTTGGGAAAGACACAGGAAAATAATTATGGAAAAGATCGACATTAATAGACAAATAGGAAATTGGAAACATAATTTTGAAAGCCTGTAAATGTATATATGATATAGGGTTGATGGGAGATCTTAGGATATAGTTGCTATACTTGGTTTTGAGTTTATATAGTTGTATATGGTCATGATTTGGAGTGTGGTATGGTCAAAATATTTCCCCAATAAAAAACTATGGTGGAAGGCCTGCCTGTTTTAATATTCCTGTTTCCTGCAATGCCTATCAAAACAGGAGTCACTGACAGAAAACAGCACAACAGGGAATGAATATAAATATCTGGATCCAACTAGTGAGTTTTTCCAGCTATATCTGTCC